CACTCCAAATCTTAAAAAGACACCATGTAATCAATAAAAAAAAAAATCCGAAACGATGCATGAACCGGTACATATTCAAAAGGGTGAACCAAAGTGGGTATAGCGTGATTGTTAAGCCAAAAGGTTAGTCATAATGGGACGCTGATGACAAATGGCTCGTAACGGCACGAGCTTACGCATAGCCATCCCAGGATTCTCGGTCATATCAATCTCTTCACCGTTGACTTTTTCCCACTCAAAGCATTGAATCAATGACCCTAAAGCCAACGTCACCATCCTCTGTGCCAAAGCCGCACCAGGACACGTCCTCCGTCCGTTCCCAAACACCATCAACTTATTAACGTTTGCAGCTTCTTGGTCTTCAAACCGCTCTGGCATAAACCTCTCGGGTTCATCCCAGAGCTTCGGGTCTCTGTGTATAGCCCAAGCGTTCACTAGCACGATAGTGCCACGAGGCACGTCGTATTCGCCAACCTTGATATCTTCGGTTGGGGTACGAGGGACAAGGAGCGGCGCGGCCGGACATAACCGAAAGGTCTCGGAAACAATGTTTTGGAGATAAGGAAGATTGACAATGTCCGGTTCATCGATTAAACGTTCTTGGCCAATCTTTTCGTCTATTTCAGATTTCGCCTTTTTCAACACTTCAGGATTTCTCAACAAATTCGCCATTGCCCATTCCAATGTCACTGCCGAAGTATCCGTCCCGGCGAGCATCATTGCCTATATACATTAGACAATTCATTAGAGGCCTCTATATTCATGACTTTTATTCGATTTTAGCGTTTTTGTGTATGTAAGTGTACTTACGAGCATGAGGCCTTTGATGATCACGTCGCTGTAATACGTGGGTTGGTCTTGTTGTAGAGACAACAAGTGACTAACCATTGTGTTGCTCTCTTCATCTCGTCGGCATTCGTCGAGCAGTCGTTGCAAGAAAGCGTCCATGGCTTCGCCGAGTGCTTTCACTTTCTTCTCATAATTGTGTCCGAACACTTTAAGAATCGGTAGATAATCTCCTGGATGGCTCGCACCACTGTTGTCGTTGATCTGCATCACTAGGTTCTTGAATAGATCGGCTTCTTCCTTGTTGTAAACCTTTAATCAAAAAAATAATTGATTGAGAAAACAATAATTCACATGGAATTAATTCTGATGAATCTGAAGTAGTAGTATGTATATAGTTAGTCCAAAGGTTGAAATCTTGCATCAATAACGAGATTGTATCTCATAAGCCAGAATCATGTAAACTCAACAACATTATTATAAATAACTTTATAACAACTACAACAAATTAAAGATACTTTATAAGTGACGTCAAAGATTAATGAATTTGTAGTATTTTGTTAACTAGTAGGAGTAATAAATTTGTTCATGTAATTAAAACATTTAAATAAAATTTTAATTATACGAACCTCGTCTCCGTAGTAGCGTCTCCCTGTGACCATACGAATAATATTGTTAAACGTCAAATCGCCAAGGAGAGGTTCAAGCTCAACGACACGGGCGTTATGGTCACGTGAGAGTCTCGTGAGCAACCGTCGGATCTCGTCTTTCCGGACGGAGAGGAATCCGGTTAGACGGTGAGAAGAGAGGATCTCGAGAGAGCAAATACGGCGGAGATTACGCCAATGATCACCGTAATCGGTGGTTCCAAGCGTTGTGTAATCGTAGGCGACATATTTAGCGGTTAGAAAATGCGGTCTGTTTGATAAAACGACGTCGTTTTGACCGGTGAAACATTCTTTGACGAGAGGCAAAGAAGAGATGACAACGACTCGGCGAGAGCCGTAACGAAGGGAGAATATTTCGCCGTATTTTTCTGCGAAGCGGTGGAAGAGACGGTGGACCGGTGGTTTCACGATGTGGAGGTGGCCAACGATTGGAAACGGAGTTGGTCCGGGTGGGAGATTGAAACGCTGCGTTTTGGATGAGAATATGAATTTGTAAGCTAAAAGAAACAACACAAGTGGCAATATAATCAAAATGTAATCCATTTTCTTTCTTTTTTGGGAGGTTTTATGAGTTTACAAAAGGTTTGAAGTGAAACAAAAGGTTGATGGTCTATATGTGTGTGTATATATGGATTAATTTTGTAAATAAGAAAGAAATTCAGATAGAGTGGCTGTTTTTGTCTTGACTTGGATTGTTTTTTTTTTCTTTTTTCCCTTAATGTATATCACATCTAGCTTTTTAGTGATAAACTCATAACTGGTTAGTCTGGTTTCGTACGACTTTCCTTGAAGTTTTGACTGGTTATTGTAATGCAAGTTCTATTACGACGGTCCACTAAAAAATGATGGACATATGCATGAATTATGGATTTCTTTGAAAGTTTCAATA